GAAAATGGTCCGCGCACTAATTATCTTCTGCTACAACATGCCTAGTACTCAAGGTTCACTCGAATTGTCAGATTTTGTTAGAGGAAGGATAGTTGGTCAAGCAGATGGTGGAATAAGTCAGTGGCAAATTTCGCAGAATTTGGGAATCCCGCTTTCGACAGTCAACAAAATCATCGTGCAGTTCGGGAAACACGGCAAGGAAATAACTGAGCAGCGTCCGGGTCGTCCTGGTCCATCGGAGAGGACAAAAAGGGCTGTCAAGAGGAGCATCGAAATGGACCCCAGATTAACGACTGCAGAAGTGGCCAAAGTTGGTGGGATGAGCCCGAAATCTGTTCAACGGATTCTCTACAGATTGGGTTATCGTTGCAGAGCAGCTAGATGGAAGCCCTTATTAAGACCTGCCAACATAATCAGACGAAAGAAGTGGGCAAGTGGTATGATGACCAAGCCTCTGGACTTTTGGAAGACCGTATTGTTCTCAGACAAACCAACATTCGCTCAATTTTCAAACAGTGGAAGGATATGGGTCTGGAGAATGCCTCACCAAGAGTTTTGGCTCAACAGATTGCAGCCAACTGTGAAGCATGGTGGTTTCAGCGTGATGGGTTTGGGGAGCTGTTTGGGTTGGTGGGAGATCGAGCTTAGCGGAGTGCGTTGGCAACATTCATTTTGCGAAATACGTCGAAATATTGGAGGAAGGACTCTTGCCACTTTATTCCTCTGGTTTCGTGGATAATAACACAACGTTGTTCCAGGAAGATGGAGCACCGTGTCACACCGTGCTAAAAACACCCAAAAGTGGCAGGAAGAACATAGTATCCAGAAGTTACCCTGGCCGAGCCAATCTCCTGACATGAACCCCATCGAAAAACTTTGGGCCATACTCGACCAGCAAGTCAAGAAACAACCAAAAAACCAACTTCGAAGAGCGATCTACTCCAAGTAGAAGCAAGAGTGGGCGAAAATCCCACAATCTAAAATTGATGAGATGATTCTCACGATGCCCCAAAGGATCAACGAACTCCACGAAGCGATAGGAAGATATACTAGATATTAATTAAATTATAAATATATTAATTCATGTGAATATGACTGAAGATTTTCATTTTTTCTGAAAAGGTGGTGTCTATATACTTGTGACCACGCTGTGTATAAGAGGAAGACGATGCTATTATTGTTTATGTTCGGTCAGAGACAACACATTAGTTTTATTTGATAAATAAGAATATCGCGACTCTATAAAGTTCTCTGCAATTTTTGAATGTGGTTATTAGCTGATAATGAGTCGATACTATTGGTCGAAAAGTTGTAATTACTAAAATATGAACTTGAATACTCTAAAAGTTACTGTTATTGTACGTTTGAAGTAAATAAGAATATCGTTTTACGTACAATTAGTTTTAATAATTCTTATATTGGTACGTTGGTTAAACCGATAATTTTAAATATTACCCTCAGATGGCGCCAAATGTACAACATGGTGAGATTTAGAAATGCAGCCGGCTTAAGTAAGATGACAAACTGGTGGGATAATGGCGGAAACCAGATTGCATTTAGCCGAGAAAACAAGGGATTCATCGCTATCAACAACGAGGATTACACTCTAGACAAACAACTTCAAACTGGACTTCCTTCCGGAACTTACTGTGACGTCATAAGCGGTAACAAAGAAGGAGATCGGTGTTCTGGACGCACCGTAAAAGTAGATAGTTATGGGAACGCCAAAATCCATATAGATAATAAATGGGAAGATCCCATGATTGCTATTCATATAGAGGTAAGTTAGGATGCTCCTTCTTTTTAAAGTCAACATATAAACAACTTGATATTTATATATTATTAATCAAAAGTAAGCTGACTATATTGATGAAACTAAGAAGTAAATAATACACAAGAAAATTAAACTTTTTATTTACTAAAATGCTTTGAATCATTACTTGAGTACCCTTGCTGCTATTGATGTTTTCGACCGTAATCCCAATAATGTCCCAAGAGATTCGGAAAGCTTTCCATATGCTAACTTAACAAAAGTTGAAAACGTTTAAGGATTGATAATAATAAATAAGATCTTTGAAATTATTTTAAGGCTTACAGCCAATAATATTCTTGAAAATCATTTTAAAGCAAAATGAATTATGTTATTGCTTACAAAACACATAAGAACTATCTATGATTCATGGTAAGATCCACTCAGCTTACCAATACACGAAACCTAAACATAATTTCCCTTTAGAGGCACATTTATACATGTGAACAGAATAC